AGCGTGGCTGGCTCAGGAATTCTGGGAGTTGAAGTCCACCAGTCCTAAAAGAGCGAAGGTTGCCTACCCCTGTCCTAACCCCTGTCCTAATCCCAATCAGGTGCAACCAACTTAATGACTGTCTTGCTTAACAATGGAAATTCTGTCCCAATTGTGATGGCTGAGGATGACCCACATAAGGAGGGTGTGAAGTTTCCTTCTGTGTAAATAGGGTTCTTCCCACTCACATTTAATTATCTAGTGTAATGATAACATCCTCTCCCTCCCACCACCACCACACACACTACTTTGATCTTATATTTAAGCAACTCTTAGGAAATAACTGATAGGGGATTAAAGGCTCTCTACCGTGCAAGTTCCTTTTAACTCTCCTTTGATTAGGTGAGGCCTCCAAGGCAGAATCATCCATCAAGTTTGGAAGTTAAATAACTTCCTATAGTCATTAACATCAAGATAGTTCCCTTATAACCCTTTTTCAGCTAATATCATCTATTCATTCATCCATCCATCTTCATTCTTGGTGTTTAAGGAGCCAAGGCTCCAGGCAACATTTTAAGTTGCTTATTCCCATTTCAAAAGCTTAACCTCTCTTTACTTCAACAGTTAAGGAGGCAAAATGGTAATCAGATGACATCATGGCTCTCCAACAGCGGGCAAAAATCCGTATCAAGCAGATTAAGACGGAGTTTGGAAAAGAACATAGTTGGAAGGGACCTTGGAGGTCTTGTAGTCCAGCCCCTGCTCAAGCAGGAGTTGACACCCTGTACCATTTCAGACAGCTGGCTGTCCAGTCTCTTCTTAAAAGCTTCCAGTAAGGGAACACTCACAACTTCTGAAGGCAACACTGGTTGATTGTTCTCACTGTCCGCTTTTTAATTGTTAAGCAAGATAGTTGTTAAGTAGATTTTGCCTCATTTTACAACCTGTCTTGCCTCGGATGCTAAGCAAATCACTGCAGTTGTTAAGTGAATCTGGCTTCCCCATTGACTTTGCTTGTCAGAAGGTCACAAAAGGGAGTCACATGACCCCGCGACACTGCAACTGTTGTAAATATGAGTCAGCTGCCAAGCCTCTGAATTTTGATCGCTTAAACATGGGGATATCGCAATGATTGTTAAGTGGAAAAGCCCTCATAGGTCACTCTTTTCTGTGCTGTTGTAACTTCTGACAGTTGCTAAATGAATGATTGTAAGTTGAAGATGACCTGTACGGCGTAACCCAAGTAGTGTGTAGAGCTACACCTTTGGGAAGTCTTAGAAGAATATTTGGTGGAAGTGTGTAAAATGGACTGTATTTGAGGCAAAATGTATTATGAGCATCGCAGTGATAAAGTGAACAGGTTTGAATTCTGCAGTGTTTTGCATGAATATAGAACTCAAAGTTTGTTGCTAAAGGAAGGAAGGAAAGCCTGCAGGAGAATAAATAGAACACTTACAAAGTGGTTCAGTATCGAGCAGAGGTAAAAGAATACAATACTGTGTGACATTTCCTCCCCCACTCAAAATGTTTATAGATAAATGCATGAAAAGGCTTGTGGCGATGCTGGCCTTGAATGCACAGGAATTTTGGTATGCAGAAGATGCTACGTTATTGGCTGAGAATCCAAATGATTCCCAGGGAATAGGAGACTGTGGCATTCAGGTTTATGGATCTGAAAATTAATATATCCCCAGTCCAAGGTTGTTGTGTTTGACAGGAACAATCGGCAGTTATACTTTAATTGCAGTGCCAGTAGTGAATTTCTGTGTCTGGATAAAACATTTACTAAAAATGCGGAAATGGACAAAGAAATTGTTGTAAAAAACAATTATAGGTTTGTAATTTGTTGTTAGCAATGAATGCTTTTTCCATGGGAAATCCAGAATAGTTGCATTTAAGAAGGGTATGTCAAGGCAAACTAACTACGTTGAATGCTGTGGGGTTTAATATTTAAGAAGCTGAGTGTAGAGAGCAATCTGGCCTAGTGGTGAAGGCACCAGGCTAGGAACCCAGGAGATGGTGAGTTCTAGTCTCACCCTACTCATGAAAGCTGGCTTGGTGACTTTGGGCCAGTCACCAGGAGATGGTGAGTTCTAGTCTCACCCTACCCATGAAAGCTGGTTTGCTGACTTTGGACCAGTCACCAGGAGATGGTGAGTTCTAGTCCCACCTTAGACATGAAAGCTAGGTTATTTTGGGTCAGTCACCAGGATACGGTGAGTTCTAGTCCCGCTTTAAGCATGAAAGCTGGCTGAGAGGCCTTTGGTCTGATCACCCATTCCCAGCCCAACTCATCTCACAGGTTCTTTCTTGGGGTGAGAAACAGGAGGAGGAAAGAATATTAGGTATATTCACTGCCTTGAGTTATTTATAAAAATAATAAAGGTAGAATAAAAAAAATCTAAAAATGTGTCGTTCGTAAAACAAGAAAAGATGAGGTACAAAATGAAAGAGTCCCGAATGAACATCAGCTTTAATAATAATAATAATGGAGGTCATCTGGTCCAACCCCCTGTTCAGGCAGGAAACCCTATACCATTTCAGACAAATGGCTGTCCAGTCTCTTCTTAAAAACTTCCAGTGTTGGAGCATTCACCACTTCTGGAGGCAGGTTGTTCCACTGGTTAATTGTTCTAACTGTCAGGAAGTTTCTCTTTAGTTCTAGGTTGCTTCTTTCCTTGATTAGTTTCCATCCGTTGCTTCTTGTCTTGCTTTCAGGCACTTTGGAGAATAGCTTGACTCCTTCTTTGTGGCAGCCCCTGAGATACTGGAACACTGCTATCATGTCCCCCCTCATCCTTCTCTTTGTTAAACTAGACATAACCAATTCCAGCAGCCGTTCCTTATATGCTTTAGCCTCCAGTCCCCTAATCATCTTTATTGCTCTTCTCTGTACTCTTTCTAGAGTCTCAGCATCTTTTTTACATTGTGGTGACTGAATAGAAAAATGAGTGATGAGTATGAAGAAGGTAGACTAAGATGTTTTGGTCATGTAGATGAGGATTGAATAACAAAACAAATATATAGAGAGGAAGGGGAAGACAAAAGAAACTTGTGGTTGTGCGGCGTTGATGAAATCCTCCGAAACTAAGAGGAATTTAATTACTAAAGACAATGGTTTGTGGTAATAGAAAGAAATAGAAGGTGTAATGAATGATATGAATGGTGTGAATGCTGCATTTCTCATCTCAAGCCTTTTATTCCTTTATTTCCTTCTTTTCTCCCTGCCCGACTGCATAATGTTGCTTGTTCCAAAAGGGAATTGCATGACAGGTGTATATATAAATGCAAATATGTATGTAACACAGCTACCAGAATAGTTTGCAAATATTCTGATGGCCGTTAGAAGGCAACAAGGAGAATTCTAAATTCTCTTAAGTTCTCCCTAACCCTTAGCTGCCATCTGGATTTTCTGCAGCAGAAATCTGGTGTTATTATAGATCTGGTTTTGTTGTCTTTAATTTGAGAGACTGATATGGGCACCCATCTTATATGACGCAATCCAGGGAGGCTCACAACTACCCCCAATAAAAAATATAGAAATAAACAACAGTCCCAGACTTGGTGCTATTGTTGTTTTGATGCTAAACCATGTCCAACTCTTTGTGACCTCATGGACCATAGCACGCCAGGCCCCCTTGTCCTCCACTATGTCCTGGAGTTTGCCCAATTCATGGTCATTGTGTTGGTGACACTAACCATCTCATCCTCCATTTCCTTCTCCAGTGAAGAATGTTCTGACCATGTTTGGTCAGAAGTCTCCACTATGACCTGTCTGTGGCCCTGCATGTCTTAGCTCAGGGGTCTCCAACTCTCGCTGGCTGGAGAATTCTGGGAGTTGAAGTCCACAAGTCTTAAAGTTCCCAAGGTTGGAGATGCCTGTCTTAGCTCCCAGCTTCCCAGCATGGCTGGCTGGGGAATTCTAGGCATTGTAGTCCACACATCTTAAAGTTGCCAAGGTTGAAATACATTGCTTTAAGGTGTCCCAAAATTCATCCACAGCCTTTTTCATTCTAAGTATCCCAAAGGAACCAACCTGAAATTCGCTTTGCCCTTTTTTTAAAAAAAAAAGTTATTTACAATATAGAAAAGAAGATATAAACACAGAGTATTCATCTCTTTATTATCTAGGGACTAGGAGCTGGATAGTAAACAATTAGGACGCTCCCATTGTACATAATTAACATGTTTCAAGCAGATTGGATAAAACACCATCATCCTCATTATCATAATATTGATGGCTGGTTTGGTCGATTTTTCCATCGGAGTGGTTTTCTAACAGAGCGGCTGGCCTTTATTTTTATTTATTTATTTATTTAAATATAGATTTAGAGAGACCACCCGATTCTAAACGATTCCGGACACTTTTACATCATCAACAGAGAAGTAGATGTTTTGCATCCAGGAAGACTAGATAAAACAGAACCCAATCAAAGCCTAGAAAACAGCTGCAAGTTTTCCTGGCCTTAGCCAACACCCTCAAGCTGGGAGCTGTCTCATTTCTCCCGGAGATAAATGCGGAAATATTCCAATCTCAGTTAGTGTCATCAGAACGGCTACAAAAACTCTCAGCCACATACATACACACACACAAATACATACATAAATAAATCAATCCACAATCAATTCTTTATGCTCTAAATGCAGAAATATTCAAATCTCAGTTAGTGTCATCAGAACGGCTACAAAAACTCCCAGCCACCAAAACAAACAAACAAACAAACAATCCACCACCAATTCTTTTATGCTCTTTATCTCAGTAGTGTCATCAGAACGACTACAAAAAACTCCCCGCCACCTAAACAAACCAACCAACAAACCACGATCAATTCTTTACGCTCTTTACCATGACTGGTGGTTTAATTGGGCGAGGACACTTTGGTTTAGACAGGCTTCTTAAGTCCTTTTTTCCCCCAAGGAATTCCGACGGGGCGCTCATCCTACACCGACCCCCCCCACACACACACTACTCCAGCCCCCAGCCCCGGTTTCGCCTCGCACGTGGCGCAAACTCCAACCGCCCGCCCTTTTCTGCTGCAGGATGCTCTGCGGGGCTCCGGGGACCAGGGGCTTCGTTTATTCCAGCAGAAGACAGCCAGGGAAGACTGAGGCCAGAGGGCGGGGGCGAAGAGAGGCTAACTTTATCCGCTAGGAAACGCAGCTCCGGGGTCCTTGATCACCCTTCCCTGTCTCCGACCTTCCCCACGATCCGGGGAGCGCGCCAACCCCTTTCCGCACCCAGGGATGCTGGCAAACGCCGCTCCATCCAACCTACAGGTGGCAGAGGCCCGCTGGGTACCACTCTCCATCCCTGGTGGGAGAAGCGGACGCCGCCCGCTGCCCCCCCCCGTCCTACGCGGCCGTCAAGCCAAGCCAAGCCAGGCCAGGCCAGGCCAGGCCAGCTCCGGACCCGAGCGGCGCGCCCGGCTTCGGTCGTGAGAACGCTCTCCTCCTCCCTCCGCTCCTCCGCGCTGCGGCCAAAGCGGGCGCCGCGCCGAGCAGTCGGCCGGCCGACCAATGGTAGCCGCGGAAGGCGGAGCCCGAGAGCCAGCAAATAATCGCTCGATGCATTGCGAGCCCAGCCGGTCCACCGGGCAGCGAAGCGCTCTGACTGCAGCGGGCGAGGCGAGCGGGAGTCGCGGCCCCCGCAGCTGGGCAGGGTTGCGGGACCCCCGTCTCTGGGGCCGGTGGCGCTCCCTGCCCGAAGGGGGATGCCCTTTGGCGCCGAGGACGCGCCCGGCTCCGTGTTGCTTCTGCAGGTAGGGAAAAAGTTTTAGGAGGCTGGGGGGGGGGGAGCGTGGGAGGGGGGAGGGAGGGAGGGGGGAGAGATGAACGCGTGTCGTCTATCCGCACGTCCGTCCTTCCTCAACCTGGGTTTGGCTGTCGTTGCGTGGGAACGCAAGAGGGGAGGGCAAGATGCGCGCTTGGCTCTTGGCTGCCCAGCGGGGCTAATGGTGCCTCTCTGCCCTCCCCCCAGCTTTAGGGACCGAGCGCCGTAGGGCAGGGGTGGGTGACGACACGCGGAAGGCCTCGGGAAAACTCCGCGGGGCTCCGTTCGTGGGAAGAAGGCCTCAAAGCAAGAGAAGCGCTGGGTTCAAATCTTTCCCGAGGTTCATCAATCCTGGTTGGGCGGGGAGGGGTAATCGCTGTGGATCTGACATATTTCTAATGGTGGGGGAGGGGGGGAAATGATCTGTTCCTGTAGAAGGCTAGTCTAGTGAGTGGTCCCTGGGGCTTACTTACTCTTGAGCAAATGCCTCTCTAAGAAGTGGCTAGCCAATTTTCCAGAGGCGAGGTGGCCCAGATGAAGTTTGTTTTCAGGAACTTGTAGATGGGGGTAGATGGATAGTAAAGCAAGCGGGTTGCAAATTAAGCTGGGAAGATTTGCAACAGAATGCTGCTGCTATAGGATAGGGATTTGGACCATGCAGACCTCATGTTGGTGATCCTGTGTGGAGATTTCTATAGAACAGTGTTTCCCAAACTTGACAATTTTAAGGCATGTGGACTTCAACTCCCAGAATTCCACAGCCAGCGTTGCTGGCTGTGGAATTCTGGGAGTTGAAGTCCTCATGCCTTAAAATTGTCAAGTTTGGGAAACACTGCTATAGAATATGTTCTTCTATTGCATACAGCCAGTCCTGTGTCCAATTAGCGTGAAGTCTCTGCGCTTCCTTTCCTGCTGCTGAAGTCACATTTCGTGTACAAAGGCTGTTCCTGGCACCTTCCCCTCCCTGGCCTGCCACAATGTGAGCTTGTTCCAAACAACTTTTGAAGGGGACGAAGTCTAATTGCGCCCCCAAAGCTCTCAGCGCTTCTGGAGTGCAGTTGAATTCATGTAATTCATAACACTCTCCATAATAGGTTTGCCCCAAGTTGGCATTGGAAATGCATGCAAGTGTCCAGAGCAGTAACCTGAGAGGCAGATATTCAACAGGTGATTTTTTTAAAAAATTTTTTGCTCCACGCTTTTTCCCATGTCTGGAGGGGGAAAAAACTGCTGGCATAACCCCTGCAAATGGGAAAGGAAAGAAATAAGGAAGAAAGCAGCTGGCAATTCCGATTGTAGCTGATGCCTCAGCTTAAGACAGTGTCAGCCAGCTGGAAATGGATTAAAAGCGAAGGCTCAGAGGTGCTTTCACACACCTGGAGTATAAAAATAAGTCTGGGCCAAATCCACATGCCCATTTATTGTATTAAATATATGCATTAAACATATGCAGCAAGATGATTCATCCAGAATCTCCTCGTCCAGCCCTTTCAATCTAGTGTTATATTTATCATTTGTTAGAGTGATTTCTCTTTTTGTTCTGGGGAACTTAGAGGAAGAGGGAGTCAAGCTATTCTCCAAGGCGCCTGAAGGCAGGACGAGAAGCAACAGATGGAAACTGATCAAGGAGAGAAGCAGCCTAGAACTAAGGAGAAACTTCCTGACAGTTAGAACAATTAACCAGTGGAACAACCTGCCTCTAGAAGTGGTGAATGCTCCAACACTGGAAGTTTTTAAGAAGAAACTGGACAGCCATTTGTCCGAAATTGTATAGGGTTTCCTGCCTGAGCAGGGGGTTGGACTCGATGACCTCCAAGGTCCCTTCCAACTTTTTTATTATTATTATTATTATGGATCATCGCACAGTCAGCCAGATGTTCAGACTGGATTTGGCATTTTGTCTATCTATCGAGTCCTTACCCAGGACCTGGGATAGGCAGATGTGGATGTTTGATGGTATTACAGATATCGTCGCAGGATGGAAGCAGTTCCTAGTAAGGCCGCCTTTTGCAATTGACTAATAGCGAATTTGTCAATGCCAATGGTGTTCAAGTGGTGCTCCAGTTGTTTTGGGATTGCACCCAAGGCGCCTATGACTATTGGTACTACCCTTGCTTGCTTTTGCCACAGTCTTTCTATTTCTATTTGTAGGTCTTTGTATTTTGTTATCTTCTCCAGTTCTTTCTCGTCTATTCTGCTGTCTCCAGGCACTGCCACGTCCACTATCCAGACTTTTTTGTCTTTCTTATCGACAATTATTATTATTATTATTATTATTATTATTATTATTATTATTATTATTATCTTCCTTCACTGTATTTCCAGAGCAACAATTTTATTGGGTGGAGAGAGAAGGAACAGTATCAAATCGCCAGGGACGTTGCAAGGTTGTGGAGAATTGTAGAATCGTAAAGCTGGGAGGGAGCATGGGGGATTTCTAGTTCAACTGCCTGCTCAAGGCAGGAGACTAGGACCCCATGCCTAGCCAAGTTCCATAACCACTACACCTTGCAGGCTCTTTTATTTTTTATTTTTAGATTTATATCTGCTTTTCCTTCAGGGTCATATATGTAATGAGCCAGCCCCCCCCCCTTTCCCCAGCATCTTCACCATTACACTGCTTGGCTGTCAGACTGAGAGAGGAATTGAAACTGTGTCTCCCCATTCCTTGTCCAACCTCTTCTCTACTGAAGCATCTAATGCAGTGCCTCTCAATCTTGACAACTTTAAGACATGTGGACTTCAACTCCCAGAATTCCCCATCCATCCATCCATCCATCGATCCTGGCTGAGGAATTCTGGGAATTGAAGTCCACACGTCTTAAAGTTGCTAAGGTTGATCAGTCCTGATCTAATGACACTTGGTAGCGTCTGTCTTGGGAGAGATCCTTCTATAGTAACAGTTACCTCATTTTTTTTTAACCTGGAAGTGATGGGTGTTTTTCCTGCAGAGGTTCAGCGCAATTTTTGTTTCTCTTAAACACATCTCAGGACTGAATTACTGATGCCAACAAGGAAATGGCACTCTGGATTGGCTTGGTAGGACCCTCCCAAGAGCATCAAACCCAAAACCAAGAATAACACATTACAATCCTTCCAAGTTGAGTTCTTTAATGTTTCATACCTATAGACAGAATCTTGCCAAACTGAGGACTCTGCTAAGTAATCTGCATCTACAATATACTCTGTGAACTATTAGGGAGTGGCTGTCTTCACCCTCTTTTTTCTCACACATGGTATCTGGACTAAGTTGCCTTTTACTTCTCTGGAATTCACCCCTTCCCGCCTGGAAATCCATCTCTTCATTGCATCGGATTGCAAAGATCATCGTTCGGTGGGATCCGGAGTGTCAAGCTTGTTTTCCAGATAGTAAGCAGCAACAGTGTCAGCACAATACATTGAATCAGGTCAAAAAAAAAGGACTCAATGGTAGCATTCGTATAATGCATGAAACTCGAGTGAGTCTTATTGCCTTAGACTTCTTCCAGCCTCGCACAAACCCAATCTGTTGTGTCAGCAGACAGTTGGAAGGATCGTGTGAGCCCAGAAAATAGGTTAATTCACCAAGGGAAGTGTGTTGTGTGAACGTCTCCAGAAAATAAATCATTTTTGTGAAAGCTGAGGGTGATAAGGATGGAGGCATTGTTGGCAGGAACATGCAGGTTTTCTATTATCCATCTGTCATCCCTGCTCAGGCAAGCTTTTTTGTTTTTTCAGTGTTACAGAAATCTGCCAAACCTATTTAACTAGAGGTGTCGGGAGCCGTACATTCCCCACCATGTGTGTATCAGACCAGCCACCTTCAGAATACAACCCTGATCTGTGTCCAGCTGAATTCTTGTCTTCTTTAAAAAGGCCCCTTTGTTATTTTCTCACTTTTTTTTTTTTTGAAACACTGATGGAATTAAGAATCGAAACAAAATGATTTGCTTTACTAATGGGGATGTTTTTGTGCAAGAAACAGTGCAAAATGTGTCTGGCAGAGCCTCAACAGGCAGCCCTGCATCTGGGTGTGGGGAGGAGTGTGAAGAGTTTCGTTTAGAAAGCCAGGCGCTGGGCATTGTCACCCAGCGCAACGGAATAGCAGGCTTCTCAAGCAGGAGACAGATTCCTTCTCAAGAGCCTCGCCTTGCTTTCCAGAAACATGTTGTGGCTGTTTTCTGAGGGGGTTTTGCTGCCAACTGGCAAAAGTGTTTGGGCTGATAGAGAATATTAGAAGAGGTGGCTTGAAAAAGAGTTGCAGACAAGAATCGGCGGTTGCAGAAAGAACTGGAGGAAAGAGGGAAGAGAAAGGAAAGAATGGAGAAATGGGTTGCTTTCCTCTCCGTACACATTCCTTCTTTCTTTCCTCTTCCTTTCCTCTGAGGATGGAAAGGATAGCCAGATCCGAGGTTCACCAAACAGGCATCTGCTCCTGTGCTACTCAGAAAGTTCCTACACTGCAAGTATGAATATGCAGGTGAACACATTGAATAACTCAGAGGTTAGGGCCAAGATCAGCATATCTTCGGTTGGGGTCTCTCCCCACCTCCACTGTTCTAGCACTCAGAAGCAAATTTTTGGAGTATCATCTGCTCCACTTTCGCTCCTGAAATGACAGCTGAGAGAAAACAGCTGATAATCTCTTTAGACTCAACGCCTTTTATTCATGATAATTTCTTCTTCTTTTTTTTCTGGGTTGCTTTCTGAAGGATGCAAGGATTTTGGGATGGGTTTACATTTTTATTTTAGATATTCTAAAACAGTCTAAGCAGGCAAGCAAGCAAGAACACCATCCTGGGATTTAGTCGAAACCATTCAGTATAAATTGTGCAAGCCGTTCTTCCGTGTTTCTGCCCAACTGAAGTAATAGGACTACTCTGGGAACCATATTAATACCTTCCCTTATGATGTTTGCAGAATGAGCTAATTGCTTTAGCTAATTGATAAACAAAGCAAGCCAAGCTCAACAACTATATTACACAACTTCAGTAAAACAATATACAGCAG